GATTTTCTGTCAAATTCAGCTTTATGGCCAGCTCTGTTCTCTCAGGTCCGGTTAAATATCGTTGCAGAGAAAATCGACGCTCTAGTTCAAAGACCTGATTCGGTGTGAAAGCCACCTATGAAATAAAAAAACCGTAATTTTCCCAGATAATATTGCATTGCCAACTAATTGTCGACCAATTTCTGGCTGGATGATGAATTGAATACACTGTAGCATACTACATTCAGATCCAATCTGATGCAATTAAGTAAAGAATATTCTCAGCATTAAACAAAAAATAAAAAATAAATCCCACTCAAAATTATGCTTGAAAAACTAAAGAACAATTTACATGAATCTTGGAATTAATCAGGTTGTCGGACTCTCAGACCAGATGTTTTCCAGAGGCTTGACTTCTTTAATTTGAATATTTCCTGTGAAATTTTAATTTTAATGGTTGAATCAGCTTGAATTTCATTCAAATGTTGTATATTCATCAGATTTGGGAAAGAGAATATTCTTGCATTATAAAATAAAGAGCTCTGAACAGCTGCGGAGGAAGAACCTAAAATTATTTTCAACCGTACCCTGGATCGTCGTTTCTTGTGCAACTCCACGCCAATGGCTTGATTCATTGACAGGGTTAAACTAGAAGCCGTGATCGAATTCCTGATTTCCTCTGGTTTATCAATTGACATAATGTCCCGTTGAAGTGCTCCATTTGGAAATAACAATTGCCGTGATTGAGTAGACATTTGGTAACATGCCTGTTCCTCGGAAGGAAGCAGAAGTTTTAATGCTCGTTGTTGACCATTAGAGTCTGCTCTCTTCATCAAGTCAATCATGTCGCTTCTTTCACCTATAATAAAAAAAATAGTATACAGTATTATCACTGCGGCAAAAATTTTGTATGTTGTACAATGACTAACCTGGGTTCGCATTTTCGTTGACATGGGCAGGATTTGAAAGTAACGCGGAAATGGTAAAATTCGGATACCGCGTCATGTTTCCATATATAGTTTCTTTCTATCGAATATTCAATGAGCCAACGTGACGCACAAACGATTTTCTGAAATTTTTAAAAATCCAACCTCATTTGAGATTAGCAAACATGTTCTTGAGATCAGGCAAAAAGATCCGAACGAAATGCTAGAACTGATGAAAGTCCTCCCAATAGGTGTCTGCTCGCTTTATGAAAAATTTTTCAAGACGCAGACTGTTTTCGCAACTCATGTTTTACATCACAGCAAGTATATCTTCGAAGTACAAGGTTTCTGTGCAGAAAAGCAATGACAGAGACAATTTTTTGCAAAACCTGGAATTTCTCAGTGGTTGAAGAAATTAATTAAATATTAAAAATACACGCACAAAAGGACTCCACCATATTCCGTTCGAAGACACAAAATATAGTTACAATCCTGATTTTGATGTTAAACTTTTAATTTAAACAGGCAAAATCATCAGACCTCTCCTCTTCTGGAGAAATTGATTTACATTTGTGAAAATTATTGCCCAAGTTTTTTCAAGATGACAGAAAATAGGCTTCAAATTTTAAGGAGGGTTCTCTATAATCTAGATTACGAGTAAAAATGCGTAAGCATTTCAGAGGGATTTTTTTGAATAGAGCTTTTTGAAAAAAAGGTTTGGTTTCAATTTAAATTTTGTTCTACATTATTTAAACCGATGATATCTATATCTTGTGACGCTTCCAATTTTCTTGAACCATACGAGTTATACCGTTACTCCCAAGAAGGACTCAAATTTTCCTTTTCATATGTCAAAAATTTGCTTTTGACAAGATAAAACACGACTTTTTTTCTCAAGAATCCCGTTACTGAAGTTAACATTCTTCCGAAAGCCTCCGTTTATTGTACGTAGCTTATGTGGAAAAATGAAATACACAAGGGTCAAGCCTCTCGAGGCAAGAAAAAAAGAAAAAAAGGGAGACTTTATGTCGCATAGTTTCATGAAAGTTTTGGCGGTCAACAATTGGCGAGGAAAAATCTGTGTAAGGTGTTGACAACGCCACAAAACAAAACAATTTATGGATTTGCCGAGGCAGAAAAAAATCATTAGCATAATGCACCGATTTAATGGGCTTGTTCTCACGGTTCCTGAACATGGTTGGTTGCATTGGACTGCGAAAAAATTGACGGCCAATTTGCTTTGCTAATAGTCGCCGATATGCGCTTGAGCAATCATTTAGGTATACTCAAAGAAACTCTATTCATTGGCTGGGAACTTTTCTTGCCGATCACCAAGATGCGAGTAGAAATTCTCAAGCTTCAAGAGTCGCAAAAAAATATTTTAGCAAATTTAACTCATTTTAATATACTGTACTACAGTATTTTCTTTCAAAGAAGTTCAAAGATTCTGGAGTTTTATGTGTGAACAAATACATTTTCGTGCTGAAAAGAAAATATTGTAAAACTTTTTCCATCTCTTGGACTATAAAAATAAAATTGTGGAACGTAAGAAATTGAAAATTTGAGTGCGATAAAATCAAGGAAAATACGAATAAATGGTATCCTAATGATATTTATCCATTTACTTTATAAGCATATACAGGGAACAGATTTTTATGCATGCTTTTTTTCAATCACAAATACAATGAATCAAAAACAGCATTCATGCAAAAATCCACGTCATAGCTGCATTAAAGACCGAAAGTATATTTACTCCATTTAAAAACACTTCGAATCTTCCCCTAATACCTTCTATTGGTTTGACTGGAAATCTGGAACTTTTTTAGTCAAAACCAACGGTTTGTGCCAGATCGAAACTGTTTGCTCTCCCCAAAAAAAAAATCACAGAAGCCCTTGTTTTCTGAGGAGTCCTGTTAAGTACAGCGGCTATTGATTTTTGTTCCTTGGCAATCAGAAAAAGAAAAGCAAAAACTGTCCATGGGCTATACAGCTTTACGGGGCCACAAGGGAATATATTCTCAGCATAACGGGAGTGGGCATTCTCCCAAAAATCTCCGTTTGTTCACTGCTTCTGTGGAGACTGTGGGAAAATGAAGGGCACGACAAAAAAAATGAGACAGTGGCATTTAGCTCACTGACATTTTTGGCGGGCACCAATTGGCAGGAAAAACTTGGCCGGTTGTTGACTCAACGTCAAGACCAAACAACTTCTCCATACGTCCATGAAGAAAAAAATTCATCAGCATAATGCACCGATTTAATGGGCTGGTTCTCACGGTTTCTGAGCGTCTATGGTTGCAAACGAGGGGAAACAAAAATAAACTGCCGATTCTGCCAATTTATTTGCCAATAGCCGCGGATTTTCACTTGGGTGATCATTTAAGTGTACTCAAAAGAAATACTTAATTGGATTTGAATTCATTTATCATTCATCTCGAGATACAAGAAAAAAATGAAAACTGAAAATCCTGGCATCACTCAAGCGCAGAAATGATTGGCCTCAGGATAAAATAAAAAGTGTTCACTTTAGGACTACAACAATTTGGAGGAATAATACGCTTTCTTTTCTTTCCGTCTGTCGTATCACATAATGTCCTAATTGTAAAATAAGGTGTTCCGGAAATTTGTATCCTGTATGTAATCAAGTACCGCGTGTATGAGTCATCTTTGTTTTCAATGATCTACTTGCATGGCTGAATTATTCTGTGTTAAGACATTTTACGTATGCAGTTGGCAAATTTCAAATCACAGTGCTAGAGCATCTGTTTATACCTTCCGTCGTGACCCCAATCAATAACTGGTAATTGCTGGTGCTGAGGGAATTAATTGTTTATATTTTTAATAAAAAATTGTATGCTAGCATTATTTTCACAAGTTCACTCTTCGGAGCGTTAGAGGCTCTCGAAACTTTCCCTCTTTTTTGTTGAGACTGTTAACAATGAAAATCAATAGCATCAAACTATTGGGACTCTGTACGAAATTATTTTGACAATTCCCTTGAAAAATCAAAACTTAAAGAAACAAGCCGGCTCGCAATTCAATCCGCGCATCTTTTTGAATGCGCGGAAAACTAATACGACAAAGAAAAATCGAAAATCCCCAGAAATGGGATGCTCAAAGAAAAGGATGGCGCCAAAGAAGCCGAAAACGTAATTTAATCGGCGCATCCCGAGATGCGCCGAAACAAACGAGAGATAAG